GATTGGAGCGTTGCGCGCTGAGTCGTAGGACAGTGAGTGAGATATACGGCTAGCACCGAGTGTATTACATTATTTTATTCAAGCCTGTAATTTTATATAAACCACATTTTCGTCTAAGAGAGTGTAATTCGAATTCCCAAGTCTAAAACATAACATATATGTTTGATTTTTCATCGATTAAAGCATTATAGTCGATATCCAACTAAAGTAAAAACAAAATGTGTATAAATAATATAAACTTTTAAAATATGAATTAATAAATTTAAATGTAATAAAAATATTTAAACGTTATATTTTTTATTACACACCAGCATGTAACCAAATTCCTGTTTAAGAACGGGAAATTCATTAAAAATATCATGAACGTTTCCTTCATATTGTTTTATAAAACTTTGTCTTAATTCACGAGATCCATCCCAATGTTCTTTTACAGACGACCAAGGCGCTGTATTATATCGTAACCACTGCAGATGTGTTTGACAGATACGTTTAGCTGTAAAATTTATAATTAAATTTTAATTTAATTAATATTTATAATTAATTTGTTAATTATTAATTTTTAATTATACTTATAATAATAAATATAATTTATAATTAATTTATATTTTATATTTAAATTTAAAAAAATTTAATTTTTAAAGTTCTTCACAAAATATATTAGCATAATGTATTGATTAAATTTGCAATTTCTCTGTTTGTAAAAATAATATAATTTTAAAAAGTATCTATTTTTCATTACCTTTAGAACTAAATGTTGGTTCAGTATCTAAATCAATGTTTTCGTCAATTTTTTTGCGTTTTCTCTGGATAAGTCCAAGTTGTCGACATTCGTCGAGTTTATTTCGATAAAAGTCTGGCAATTTTCCTTTTGATATTTTTTGGGTAGGCCCTTCAGATTTTGGCGGTACATAATAAAAAGCTTGTTGTTCATTTGGAAACAAGTAGTTAATTTTTTGTGATAAAATATCAAAATCAGCATTTGATAAGCGAATTCTACAAGCATTAATATAAAAAATAATTATAATATATTTTACTAATAAATATAAAATAAAAATATGTTTTATAAATATTTTTAACAATTACATGTCTTTTTCATCTGCAGACTTTTGAAACATAAATTGAGTAACAACAAGTTCAGTCAGTTTTCTACGTTTGGCTTCATCGAGTATGTTACGTTTCTCATAAAATTTTATAATAATTTGTCCCTCTATAAAGCTTAATAATAGCTTTTCTAAATCCTATTATAGAAATAATAAAACAAATATTAGTTCAAAAATCTTATATATAATTATAAAATTAGTAATATAATAAATGTCTATAATATTTTACACGAAAATTACCACACTTTTAACTGATATGGATTGACTTTCGTTCAATACCATTGATGATAACCTGATGTTATCTGTAATAACAATTACACATTAAATAAAAGTTTATCGTGCTTTCATTTATCGCCTGATTATAATTACCTTTTTTTATCTCTTTTTTTTAATAATGTCACATTCCTCCAGTGTAAAATTTGTATTACTTTCTTCGGTACTCGACACATCTGAAGAATCGCTTGTTACATTCCCAGAATTATACTTTTCATAATGAACATCATCAGGAAATGTTGTGTTTAATATTTTATAGTTTGAAGAATCTTTTTGTGTATATGATGTCTATCACAACAAAACAAAAGTATTAATAAATATTTTTATTTTATTTTTTTGCTTGCTGCACACATACACACACAGGCATATACACGCACACAAAATAAATTTAAAACAATGAATAAAATTTATAAAACGAAATATATTATAATTTATACATTTATGTATTTTATATATTTCATATATTTTATGTATTTATATATATTATTGTTTTAAATTTATTTCTTATTTATGTTTTTAAAAAGCATTATATATAAAAAAAGTATTTTATTCTATATACCGAAGCTTGTGCATTTAGCCCGATCAAGTTAGACCAAAAAATAAGAGTGAAGTTACATAAATTCGCTGTCAGCTGAAAATCGGTAAAATTGTTCAAAACACAATAAAAAACAATTTCTCAAAGTTCCCCATCGTTCCGGT